TGTGTGTGTGTGTGTGTGTATGTGTGCTGTTTTCTCCTGACCTAAACCAGAGTAGAGATAGGGAAGTATCTTAATGTAGGCTCCGTTGCACTCTGTAAAAGAAACTGAGGAATAAGTCTTACCACTCTGTCTTAAAACTTCCTGGTATAGCCTGTCTGAGGTCTAATTTTAGTGCTATGGTTTTTATAAGCTCAAATTCTATCCTAAAAGTGCTTTTGTCTTTTGAAAAATCATAGGAAAAAGAGCAATAAAGAGGTTAGATTAATGAATACTAGCACTGGAAAGAAATTTAGATATTACTGAGATAAATAAATGGCAGACAACATATAGATTTTAATGATTTCATCTCTGAGAAAAGAGAGTATTTAGTTAGTTGCTTAACTTCTAGACTCAGCTTGAAGGGGGCATTGCTTTACTAAAGCTCTTCTAAATCTCTGTCTCATCCTAGTTGAGTATTTTTTTTTCTAATTTTTAAGAAATTGTATTTATTGTGCCTGCTCTGTGGCCTGGTGGTTATGGCAGATCCCACATGGCAAATCACGTAGTTTTTCTCAGACCTGGTGACTTGAGAAACATGTTGTGTATGTGTGCATGCCCAAAATCTTGAAAGGAGGTAGAGATGAAGGAGAAGGGATATGGGCCTGATCATTCCCCATGGAAGGTACTTTCTCCTCTCTCTCTCTCTCACTCTCTCTCTCCCTCTCTCTCTCCCTCTCTCTCTCCCTCTCTCTCTCCTCTCTCTCACTCTCCCTCTGTCTCCCTCTCCCTCGGGCAGGCACTTGGGCTCTCTCTCAGGAATAAATAACTAAATAATCTCATAAAGAGAAGACTTAGGTGGAGGTGGGGGACGTGAGCTGAGGGCCGAGGGCTGAGGACAGGCCGGGATTGGGTTCCTCCAGAGCCCCAACAAGGCCTCGGCTTCAGCAGCCCCAGACCCAGCTGGGACATCCGACCCCAGACCCTAAGACGACAAAGGTGCTGAAGCCGCGGTGCTCCTGGCGCCATCTCAGCAGCCCTGGGAAGCCGATCCCCTGGCAGAGCCTGTGCGGCCCGACACCGCAGCCATGTGCCACGGAGACCACGGTCCCTCCACACACGGGCAGCGCTCGGCTCCTCGCTGCGAGCCCCCTGCGGCCAGGACCTGCCCTGAGCCCGCTTCCTCCCCAGGGCCTGGGCGGCCGCGCCCACAGCCCCGGCGTGAGGTCCCAGTCCGGTCCCGGAGAGCGCAGGCTCAGGTGCTCACAGCCGCGGGCGCCTGCGCACGGGCCGGCCTGTCCCCATTGCAGCTGGCATGGCCCCAGCTTCAGACTGCTTTCCATGCCCTGCCGTCTCAGTGCCACGACCCTCACAAACTTCCGCCCTGGCGCCTACCACGGTAAGCAGGGGCCGCGTCCCACAGTCCCCGGACCTCTCGTAAAACGGCAGCAGGTCTGAGAGCTGAGCCCCGCACCCCCAAAGTCGTCCTTGATCCCGAGGAAGCTCCATCCTGGCTGGCTGTCCCTCGGTTTGCTGCCGTGCTGTGTCCCGGTAAAGGACACCTCTGCTTCCCGACAGGCAGAACTGCTGGTGGGCCGTCCGGCCAGGACGCGGCTGGAACGTCCCTCTTGGCCCTCGTGCCTGGAGGCAGAAACGAAGCCCGCAGCTCTGCCAGGTCTCCCGCTGACACACAGGCTTGCGAGGCCTGCGTCCTTTCAGTTACCCCGAAAGAGTGCCGCGGCGGCCCGGGTCACAGCAAGCCACGTCTGTCCTTAGTTAAAGCCCTTCCTCAGCCGGGCTCCCCTGGGCCGAGCCAGGGGAGGAAGGTGGCAGGGAGGCGTCAGCCTGCTCCGGACACACAGCTGGCCAGCTGCAGAGCCCCAGCCCTGGTCCTCCTTGGGGACGGCGATTCAGGATGGTGCATGACAGCGGCCGAAGATGGCACAGGCGTCCCTCCCCGGGGCTCCCGGGTGCCCTTGGCAGTGTGCCCAGGCTGACAGCCAGCTACCCGCCAGGCCACTGGCTGTAACTGCCCCGGCTCCTCAACACCTCGCG